TTCATTCCACCAACAGTAATATAACCCCAAATGTGGTCAATGGAACTGGCAGGACACACAGAGGGACTATACAGCAATAATCTAGAATCTGGAAGGCTAGCCACAATCTTTTGAAATAATCCAACATGTGACCTAGGATTGTCAAAGTTAAAGTACACAACAAAAGTTCCATTTGAGTGACAGGCACACTAGCAGTGTTAATGACAAAATAGGTAAGTTATGTGACATGAAGCTTATTTTGGAATATTAGTAATTTGAGTAAAAATATGACATCCAAGTAGAGATGCCTAATAGGCAGTCAGGTATTCAGGATTCAAAAACAGCAAAAAGACTAAAAAGTAAAGACCTGGATATCATGGGTACAGAGATGATAGCAGCTGAAGATATAAGAATGGATGAATTCTCCAAGACAGGTGAAGAGAAAGCTAAGTATTATGGGCCAAAGACTGTGGGTGAAGGAAAAAGAAGTCAGCAATGTAAAGATGGAAAAGCACTAGGTCAAGGAAGCCCAGAAAAAGAGAATTTAAAGAGGAAAAGCTCAAAACTTCATTTACATTTGCCTTCTACATTCTGAAAAACTGACTAATGGATGACGGTAGCAACAAATACGTACAAAGGGGACAGCAGTGTTGGAACTCAGTATGCACTGTTCATCTATTATTGGTTGCCTTCCCTCTATGCCACTCACTCATTGTTACACCTCCACCAACAAAACTAGAAAAAAAAGGTCAGAAACAAAAACTAAAAAAAAAAGATGCTACAGTCAGCTAGCTTTATTTTCAAGAAATGTATGTCAAACTTCAAGGCAAATGTATACCTAACCTTCCCACTCACCTGCCTTTGTTTTTCCTTTTTAGTTTACAAATTATAGGCATTTTTGCCTCTGGAAAAATAAACGTTAATTAAACTCCATTCCTTACTGTTTTCAGAGGTACTCAAAACTATTGAGAAATTGTTAACAAACCTTAGATAAAATAATTATAAAGTTTAAAAAAAAAGTTGGAAAAAGAAAAACAGCTCTTGATAATCATTATAAACTATAACATGGACAGTAAGAGAACCATTAGGACACTGGAAAGAATCTGACTTAGAGAAAACCAACGTTGAGTAATTTGAATGATCTAGGAAACGAGTGACTAGGTACTGTATTACCTTAGCATCTGCAGACTATTTTAGCATTTACATTTGCAATATGAAAAATGGGCTTACCTGGTTTTTAAAATAAATTATGTGTTCAAGAAAAAGTTGAAGAAATCATTTCTCAGGGCTTCTACCAGCTACATTATTTTATAAACTACTAACACTCAACAAAAAAAGCTGTTTTGTGGGTGAGGTGGTTTAAAAGACCTATGCCAGGGACTTCCCTGGTGGCACAGTGGTTAAGAATCTGCCTGCCAATGCAGGGGGTTCAAGCCCTGGGCCGGGAAGATCCACATGCCACGGAGCAACTAAGCCCGTGCACCACAACTAGTGAGCCTGCACTCTAGAGCCCACGAGCCACAACTACTGAAGCCCGCGCACCTAGAGTCCATACTCCACAACGAGAAGCCACCACAATGAGAAGCCCCCGCACCGCAACGAAGAGTAGCCTCTGCTTGCCACAACTAGAGAAAATCGACAGGCAGCAACGAAGACCCAAGGCAGCCAAAAATAAATTAATTAAATTTCCAAAAAAAAGACCTATGCCAACAAACTCTTCTGAAATCAAAAGGTGTAGGAACTTTCATTTCTGAAGAGTAGGTCTAGTCAAGAAAACATAATTTGGGCTTCCCTGGTGGCGCAGTGGTTGAGAGTCCGCCTGCCGATGCAGGGGACACGGGTTCGTGCCCTGGTCCGGGAAGATCCCACATGCCGCGGAGCGGCTGGGCCCGTGAGCCATGGCCACTGAGCCTGCGCGTCCGGAGCCTGTGCTCCGCAACGGGAGATGCCACGGCAGTGAGAGGCCCGCGTACCGCAAAAAAAAGAAAAAAAAGAAAACATAATTTGACAACTTTATTTTCTGAGATTACCAAAAAAATATTAGAACTTGAGTGTTGCACACAGCACATAATACATACTCAATAAGTATCAGCTAAATAAAGCAACAGAGGCCAAAATAATAGGGAAAGTCAATCAATTTAAAAAGGGTATTGTTCCTACAATACATGAGATGTCCAAAGTCCAGACAGGGAAGAGTAAAAACGGACTCACTGAAAAAGATGAAGCTGCCTGGTAGGTCATTCTGCATGGCTGAATAAATGAATGAATGTTTGATGATAAACATAAAATAATCATGCAAAGAAAATTCATGTTAGATGCTACAAAACTGGAAAAAGGGTTCTGCCTCCAAAGAAAAATTCAATCTTTACCAAGTTCAGATTAATATAATAAAATTTCAACAGCTATCAATAAGCAATTATGGAATTCAACAGAAAAAAGAGGATGGGGGAATATGTCTGTTGACTATGTTCTTTTAGGTCTTGGGCTCCAAGATACTTGGCTGTCCTAACTCTGAGAGGGCATGACTACCTGCCTACTTTCTTGACTCTTCCTCTTTGTTCTTTACCCTTTTATCATTATATCAGTTTCAACTTGCATCTGTGTGCAAATGATTTCCAAACTGTTATCTTTAATTATGAGCTCCAATAGACTATCTCCAATAGTCTACAGATCATGTCTTTGTGGTTGTCCTACTATCCCCTAAAACACAACAAATATAAAACTGAATTTATCAAAAAAAAAGAAGAGTTCTTTTAAAAAACAAAAAATAAAAACAACAACAACAAAAAACTGAATTTATCTGTTGCCAATTCTTCCCAAGCGATTTCCAAACCTGACTTGTTTTCACCAGTCTCCCTATAACCCAGGCTTAAAATTTTTAGTCATCTAACTCTTCTTCTTGGTTGCCCCTTCTCCCCAACCCTGCCAATCAAATTCCATCAATTCTCCTTCCCCATTCTAATGCCCCAATTTTGAGCTTCAATCATTTCTGGACTATTAAAATAATTTTTTTAAAAACTTCAAATCTCACCCCATCTCCAGCCTCTTTCCACACAACCCATCCTGCACACAACTACCACATTCATCTTCATTCACCCTAGCACAGCCCTGTTTATAAATATTTAATAGCCACAACATACTGAATAATCTAAACTCCTTAGCCTAGCAATCAAATCCTCCACACTCTAACCCCAATCTATCCTTCCAACTTTATCTTCAGTTCCCCTAGCATGTGCTAGCCTGTCATGTTTCCACCCTCTATTCATGTTATCTTCCACTCCCCCTTTGACTACCCTCTATCTAAATCCTATCCATCCAGCATACAGCATACTGTGGCTCTCTCAACTCAGAGTTCTTCCTTTCAATATCCAAGAGTGTTTATTACCTATATCAATCATTTGAAATTTATCACATATTTTCTCAATCTGTGAAGTGTTTTGCTTTATTTTGGTGTATGTGTGTGAGATTAGGACTTGTTTTTCTAAATAGATTGGACTTTCAAGGAAAGAATTCATGACTTACATTTCCTTATATCCTCCACATTTCAATAAATTTGTGAGGTTCCCACCAAATGAAGCTACGACAAGAGGCTAGAAGGCAACTAAAACCAACCAAAAAAATTCCTACTAATCCCTCCCTGTAACACTGCTTCATGGAATAAGGAGATCAAAAAGCAAAGTAAAATCAAGAGATATACAAAAATTGGATAAATATTAAAAGAAGAATTAGACTTCTTAAAAGTTATAGAAATCCTTCCTAGAAAGATAAGTTCTAATTCCTTCTCTTATTCAATAAAATGTTATCAATTGTATTAAGCATCAACCCTCTTTTTTGTTTCTCTATATGAAGAGCATCCATAATATGGGTGAGACATTTCAAATATACAACCCACAACTCTTATTTCACAGTCAAGGATGCTTAGAGTAATTTAGAAAGCTTTGGGGGGAAACTTTCTTGTAGACCCATATGTGTTAAAAAATATATACACAGGTATTTAGAGTAACTGAAATGTATGTTAATTTTAAATGATCTACATCATTTTCCTGATTCAAGATGAGATTTTAAAATGGTATTATTTCTCTGAATGGCATTATTCAATTCACTTAATTTTAATCCCAAATACTGTGGACCTCTAACATTAATTCTCTGAGAAGGTTGTAAATTACTATCCATATACATATTCCTTGAAACTTTTAAGATAATGTGGTTTTGTCTGGGCCAAAATAGGATTATTACATAACTTTTGGCTGTTCAGTAAAGGAAAAACTTGCTTACAAATAGTTTGCAACTATAGTATTAGGAGAATTTGAAAAAACTTAAGAACTCCAGTTATCTACAGATACGTATTCATGTTATCAACCACTGAAGAATTTTTAAAATAGTGTTTCGGCCTTTCATATCATAAAAACTTCTTCAGAATGTTTCAAAAGTTACAATGTTAAGCGCAACACCACCAAAAAAGGCAATTATGACAAAATATCTGTGCAGTATTTTTGTAATCAACAATACTGTAAAAGATGTTAATATCGTGATGACCTACCATCAGATATCTTGGATTTTTAAACTTTAATAGTCCAGCAAAAAGTTCCTCAGACTCAAATCACCTATGACATTTTGGCTCAAAAATCACAAGCAGTCTTTTCCAACTTTACTGTCAAACCGATCGGAAGGATTAATATTACTAAGGTCGCCATTCAACAAACTATATACGTAATAATGGCTCTGACGTGGTAACTCTTTATATCATCGCCTGCAGTAGAGGTTTATAAGTATCTTTTGTGTAACGATGAACTGAGTCAGAGCTAAAAGTTCAGAGAGTGCAGAGCCAGTCCAATGATAAATAGGGCTACGGCATGAGCTTTCAATGGTACTCCAAAACTCTTCAGGAAAAACACCAGATTTTGGTGTTTTCCAAGATGATGCACACCTGAAACTTTCTTTTGCAGATAACCAGACTGAAAGCAAGAGGAAGGAAATAAATACAGAACCTTCGACAAGCAAAAGAGAACTGTGCTACTCACCAGCAAACAATCTGAATTCACTTCCGATTTGGGATCCCGCAGCAGGTTGTCGATTTTTTCAAACCGAGTCTCAAAACTGTCCCCAGTCGACATGTTGCTGCTACTGTGACAATACCCTCGTACCAGCACCAGTAGCGGAAAGCAATTTCAACCAACTTCCTCCGGCGGTGGGTTCGCGGCCGCGGGGCGGAGGAGCCGGAACCCCAGGGTCACCAGGTGCGCCCGGTTCCCCCTCCTCCCCCTCACTGAGGGGATCTCCGCTCTCCAGACCCCGGGCCGGGGGCGACGGCGACCCACAGCCGCTCGGACGCCCAAAGTCGCATCCCACCCGGCAGCCCCTCACGACAGCCGACAGCGCCGTCGCCACCAGCCTCGTCGCTCCGGCGAAGTGCTTCAGTCTAGCGGGCCCCGGCCGCCTTCGCCATGGAGGGCTCCCGGTCCCGAGATGGGCAGGAGGGGGGAGAGAAAGAAAAGCAGGGTGGAGACTCCTCTGGGCAGCAGGGGAGGGAGAAGAGGAAAGGCGAAAGTGAAGGGCGGGCGCGGAGCTGTGCCAGCTGCCGCTGCCGCTGCCGCCGCCACCGCCGCCGCTCGGGCCCCGAGCCGGGCCCGCTCCTCTCTGAGGCGCTGGAGACGGTCTAGCCCTGCATCCCCGGATCCACTTGGCCCGGCCCGACGCACCGATCCGCCTCGGCCAAGAGCTGGTCCCCGCGGGATAGCCTCAGTCTCTCATTTTGTCCCGGCGCTGCCGGGGCTGCTGCTGCGGTGTCCGGCGGGGCAGGGCGAGGTCGGTGCCCGATGGAGACTTGGGAGAGGACGGGCTGGAGAGGGGGCGATGAGGGAGACGAGAGTCCGGTCCCGGCGGCTGCGGCTGGGGGAGCTTCTGGGAGGAGCTGTGGCCCGGGCTGGCGAAAGGGCGAGTCGCGCGGCGAGTGCTTGGGGGGTGGGGCGAGGGGGGCCGTGAGGGACTAATATGTCCGCCTTCCTGTTCAAACAAACGGAGACCGCCGGCGCCGACTGCGCATGCGGGGCGCGGACATTCGGAAGGGGAACCGGGCCGGCGCCGCGCGCGCGCGCACTCTGACGCCTCCGCAGGGCCAGGCTGGGCCGGGCGGGGCGGAAGGCGGGGCGCCCCCAGGGCCTCGCAGGCTGCCTGGGAAGGCTGGCAGCGGGGAGGAGCTGACAGGGCGCGGCGGGCGGCACCGCCCTCGTTCCGGCAGGCGTTGAACCCTAAGCCGTCTCGGCAAGCGGCTGTGGGTGTCCACGCGGAGTAGGACGTCTCGCTGCCTCCGGTGGCGTCCTGGCCGCTGCCCCAGCTCTGCTTCCTCTGGGCTGCAGCCATCAGGAGAATTCTAGCGAGAAAGGGTGCTTGTTATTGTTATTTTGGAGATAGTTTTTTTTGTTTTGTTTTTTTAAGGCAAGATGCCTTTTCGCCGGCAGGGACCAGCGTTTTAGCACCAGCGGAGTCCGGTCTTCAGTAGTGCTTCATCGTCGGCCCTCAGTGAACCCCACGTCGTTTAACCCGTCTTTGCTTCCATGGGAAAATTACGAAGTAGTGCAGTACATGTGACCCTCCTAAAGCAAGCGTGTGTGTCAGGGGAGCTTTAAACTATTGACTCCGGAAGATATGGTCAATAGAAGTCAAGCTCAATTTAGTTTAAAAAAAAAAAAGAAAAGAATCTCAGGAAAGAAATCAATATCTTTTTTTTTTTGAAATGTTCTTAATTTATTTATTTTTGCTGTGTTGGGTCTTTCGTTTCTGTGCGAGGGCTTTCTCCAGTTGTGGCAAGTGGGGGCCACTCTTCATCGCGGTGCGCGGGCCTCTCACTGTCGTGGCCTCTCTTGTTGCGAAGCACAGGCTCCAGACGCGCAGGCTCAGCAGTTGTGGCTCACGGGCCCAGCCGCTCTGCGGCATGTGGGATCCTCCCAGACCAGGGCTCGAACCCGTGTCCCCTGCATTAGCAGGCAGACTCTCAACCACTGCGCCACCAGGGAAGCCCCAGAAATCAATATTTTTAAAGTTATTCATACTAGCTCTCTCACACGATTAACACTCCCACTATAGTTCTCTTCTTGATGTGTAATCCTGCCATTTCGATTTCAAAACATTCAGTGAAACTTAGAATAGTGATTTTACCAGACTAAAGTAGAACATGAAAGTAATGGCCATTTCCTCCTAATTCAATTGCTTCATTGACTATAGTGTGAGAGAGGGTGAGACGTGTTATTCAATCTGCTGATAAAGTAATGTTCGTCACTG